GCCGGAGCGTCTTCGTGCGCGAGTGAGGAAGAATGGCCAAGGTTTTCTTTCGTCAAGCCAATTGAAAAGGCGTCCTACTCACGGAGACGTTGTTGGCGTGTTCCCCGCAAAACTCGCGTCCTTTGGCCACGACCATTTTACAAAAACGTTTCTTTTTTTCCACGAAGAATGCACATTTGCCGTTTCGGTCGGTCGCGGGCGCCGCCATGTTGGCCGAGTTGTGGTGCCGCGTTCGCGTGCTGACTTGGAGGGGGGCGGGCGGGCGGGGGAGGGGAGCAAAAAAAGTCGACGCCGCTTCTCCTTTAGTCTGAAGAAAGAAGAAGGTCGACGGTGACCTCAATGTTTTGGGCTTGCACCACTTGCATTTTCGCGCTCGTTCAACAGGAGCACTTTTGGTTCAGCAAACGTGATTGCGATCACAAGTTTTCACCGACTTGACAGAGATCTCCATAAAAGCCTGAACTCTCCACTCTCTTCTCATTGGTCATCTTTTGTCGCGCTTGTTCTTACGCCTTCGCCGATTGGTGGCTTTCCAATTCGCTCGCCATCTCCCCGCCCTCGACGCCACGGGAGGGGCGTGTTCTGAAGGCGAACTTGGTGACGTCCCCACCGGACCGGCCATGATGCCATGATGGCGACGAAACGGGGCGGCGGCGGCGGCGGCGGCGGTCCTGGCTCGGCCTCCGCCGGGGCGGCGGATTACTCCTTGCTGGTTGTGGTCGGGGCGGTCGGGGCGCGGCGGGACGGGGACCATCTCGAGCGGCTGTTGCTGCAGATCGAGTCGGGTGAGTTTCTCCAAAGTTTTGCCGCCACACCGGAGCGGGAAGTCGGTGCGCCCTTTCACAATAAAACCCGTGGCGAGACGCGCATGAAGTCCACGAATACACGTTTGCAAAAAGTGTTTATCGTTACGGAACCGTTCGAGCCGTCGGGGGACTTTCGGGGGTTAAATTACGGCAAGGAGTTTTCTCTTCCCGACCGTGTCAGACTGTTCTGGCACGGCTCCAGAATTTTTCTTTTCTCTGCCGGGGGGCGCGGGGGGGGGGCTATTGTAGGGCCTACAATACATAGTTGGGCTGAGAAAATGATTTCTCAATATATTTTAGAATAGCAGGTAAAATGCAGGCGGGTCCAAATGACAAACTTTTCAGAAGGGGTTTTGGCCCCACTGTGGCGCCATCCCTGTCCTCGCGTCCAGAAATTTTACATCACGTGTGGTAAAAGCACGAATGGTCAATAACTTTCCGGTGAAGTTCACTCAGATTTAGCAGTGACGTCACACAGACGAGCAAAAGGTGAAAGGCCGTGTCTGGTCACTTGAACTCCACAATGACAAATGGAACCATGTTTTGTTTTTTTTGTTTTTTCTGTCAGCCGATCAGAATCCACCAAAGTCATGATTGTTTGTGACCGTGCGCCATGAGAATGATTTTGGTTCCCCACATAACATCAATGAGTCATTGTTCCTCTTTCCTTGTGTGTGTGTGTGTGTGTGTGTGTGTGTGTGTGTGTGTGTGTGTGTGTGTGTGTGCGCATGCGTGCGTGCACATACGCATGCTCCAGGTGTGCGCTGCTGGCGTGTCCCAATTCCGTTGGACGTTCTGGACCAGCAGCTCAAGCTGTTCGTGTCCCGACACTCGGCCTTCCTGTCGGAGGTGATTCCCGGTGAGAAGCTCAAACGTGATCGGAGCAGGATGGTGACTGTTGTGTGAGGCTCCGCCTACAATGTTTTTGTCACGTGTATAACTTGTTTCTACTGAGCAGACCCACTTGAAGTCATATGCCGGGGAAAAAAAAAATCGTGTCCCGACACTCGGCCTTCCTGTCGGAGGTGATTCCCGGTGAGAAGCTCAAACGTGATCGGAGCAGGATGGTGACTGTTGTGTGAGGCTCCGCCTACAATGTTTTTGTCACGTGTATAACTTGTTTCTACTGAGCAGACCCACTTGAAGTCATATGCCGGGGAAAAAAAAAAGTCACAATGATGCATTTGTACTTTGACGGTTTTCATGTTGACCTCAACCAAGACGGGGCCTCTTCACGGTTATTGTTATAGCGTGTTAGCGGTCAGCTTATGGGCCTCAACGTGTTATTTTTTTTGGATGTTCATAGGTCAGCGAACGTTGCAGCACCGCGGAGACATTCTGGATGCGCAAGTGGTGTTGAATCCAGCTCACGATCTGGTGTGCTCAGAGGTGAGAGCGCCCGGAAACCAAAAAAGCTCGCTCTCGCGCCCGACACGTACGAGCGGCTTTGCGTTTCCCGTTCGCGTGCGTGCGTAGGTGCGGCGGCTGCTGTGCGAGCCATCTCGACACAAATTGTTGGTCCTGGCCGGGCAGTGCGTGGAGGGCAGCGGCGACGTGGTGCTGCAGAAAGGCCTCTTCTCCCTCGGCGACTTGATCCAGATCTGTTCCGACGAAGAGGTTAGTCAGCTAGCCCCGCGTAGCGTTGCGGCCCCGTGAGGCCTTCGCGCACATTTGTGGCTTCCCGTCAGCTGCTCGGGTCAGCTGCCGCGTGAGCCGCGCTTCGTTTCGTCTCGCATTCTTTTCTCGACCGGTCCGCCGGATCGCGACGGGGAAGAAAGCGAATCGCCCGTCGCGTCGCG